TGGGAACATTGGTTGTGAGTCAACCACAAAGTTTTGAGGTTACTGAAAAAACACTAGCAGGGAGACCCCTTAGCCCCAAAGATAGAAAAGGCCTAAGGACAGAGGATTTAATGTACTGTGAAAAATTCGTACTAGAGTTTTTGTCCAAAGATATTGCATTCCTACTCAAAATAGGAAACCCAGAAACTATGAAAGGACAGATATATTTATTGCACACAAATAACCTCTTTGCATAGCAAGATCAAACATATATTTATTTACTTACTTTTACAGCAAAACTTCTTGAAATATTTATACCAGCTTTCTTTATTTCTCTTCTCCTCTTGGGCCCTGATGCTTTTCTGAAATAGCCCCAGTCAAATGTTTTGCTCAACCACTTCATTAAAAACAACTGAAGTCATTGATGATATTTACATTGTTATGGCAACAGTTAAGTCTCAGACCTCATCTTACTTGGCCTATTGGCAGCATTCAACACAATTGATTATCTCAACCTTGAAACTCTTTTGTCATTAGTTTCCAGGGCGCCATACTCTCCCAGTTTTCTTTTTTCCTCACCAGCCACTCTTCTAGAATAGTGCCTGGCCCATAGTAAGTGTTCAGTAAATACCCATTGAGTTAAATAAACAAAGCAACAAACAAACATGTGGAGAAATACAGAGAGACATGGCTAGAGAGCTTAGTCTGTCATTTCATGGTTACAAATTCAGTTCAACTCCATGGGTATTGACCAACCACTTCTGCTCTGCTCTGAAGACACAGTGAGGATCTCACAGTCTAGTGGGGATGACAGACTCAGAAAAAGAATTTCAGTCCAGCATGCCTAGCACACTAACGGTGGTAGGTCCAGTGGACAGTGGACCGATGCTCAGGCCATTTCAGGGACTCTGGAAATCTTGAAGTACATGGTACCTGAACTGAATTTTCAAAAATGACAAGGAAGCCGCCTGGTAATGAAGGGAAGGAGGAGGTCCAAATGTAGAAAACAACTAGTTTAAAACAAATTCCACATAGCCCTGTCTCTCACCTCTGTCTTTCAAGGAGTATATTGTTACTTTGCCAAATATTGGCATCCAGATGTGTCTATGGTATTCTGTTGATGCGATAATTTGATTATTGTCTAGAAAGGCCTATTGGGTTTTTATGCTTATTGGGTTGAGAATTAGATAAAAAAGACAAATTACTACAGATATATAACTTGCTGACACCCCTAAAGTAATGGAAAACTTCAGTAGCCCTATAAAAATTAAAGCAACAACTTGTAGCCAAGAGTCTTGCTACACAGAAATTCTAGGCTTAAAGAACAAATAACTCCATTTTTACAAAAGCATTTTTGGTGTAGAAAGAGTGAGCATGCTCATCTCTTTATGGGACCAATATAACTTTGATATTAGAACCTAGTAAGTTAAAAAGTAGTATTTCAACAAAATCTAAGAACATAGATACAGATGTTCTAAACCAAATGATAGCTGCCTAAGTCCAATATATTAAAAAAGTGTAATATGACCAAGTTGGATTTATTATAAAAGTACCATGTATTTTATCATTTGAACTCAATCAGCATAATTGGTCACATTAGCAGATTAAAGGAAAAAATGCACAATCATCTCAATAGAGAGAAAGAGTTAGATAAAATTTGTCATCTAGGGGCCAGAAGGTTGTGTGACGGTTAAGGTGCTGGACTCCCACATGACTGTCTGCAGTTCAAGTCCTGGATCTGGCAGCTTGAAAAATCACGCCAGGCATGTGTATGTGCATGGCCAAAATGCTGAGAGGAGAATGGAAGAGAAGGGATTGCATCATGGTCTTCCCCCCTGGGGGATGATTTCTCACTTTTTCTCTCACTATCTCTGTCTCTCTGGTGAGTGCACACATCCTATGGCAAAACCTTTAAAAAAATGGCATCTATTTATGGCTTTAAAAATCTTAGCAAATTAGTCAAGTGAACTTTCTTAGCATAAAGGGTATCTTCAAAGATTTACAGTGAACTATATACTTAAAAGTGAAGTGGTCAGAGCTTTGACACTGGAAATGTGGCAAGGATCCTGCTATCACTGTTTCTATTTAGCATTGTGCTGTAGGCCTTAGCAGGCTCAGTGAGGCAAGCAAAAGAAAGAAATTATTTAAAGACGGAAAATGGAGAACAGATTGTCATTACTTGTAGATGATGCCATCATATATGTAGAGACTCCAAAATCCATGGGTAAATTATTAGAATCATTAAGAATTTAGAAAGATTTCTGGGTATAAAATCAATATTTAAAAATGTATTACTGGGACTGCTCTGTAGCTTAGTAGTTAAAGGAACTAGAGCCCACATGGCCAACTGTGGTTCAATTCCCAGCCTTTGCGGTATGGAAAACATGCCAGGCAGGTGATGTGTGTGTGTGTGTGTGTGTGTGTGTGTGTGTGTGTGTGTCCCAAATCCTGACAGAATGGAGAAGTGGAGGAGAAGGGATTGTGGATGATCACACTCCATTGTGAGGGGAAATGTTTTTCTCCTCTTTGGCAAGCAACATGCCCCATAGCAATTAAATAAAAACTTGTTTTGATATGTCAACAACAGAAAGAACCTATTAATAAAGATGCCATTTATGAACCACTTAGAAATTAACAAAAGGGGGCAGAATATTTTTGGAGAGAAAATAAAACCTAATTGAAAGACATTTTAGGCCCATCATGGTGGTGCAGTAGTTATGCATTGCTTTGCAGTGATGAGGCCATATGCCTAGGTCTTGGATTTGCCTCCCAAGGTCTACCTATGCATGCTTGGTGTTCATGTGTGTGTCTGTAATACTGATTGACTGAGGCTGGAGAGAGGATCATGGGATGAAGACCCTGTTGGAGGTACCTCTCTTTCTCTGTCTCTCTTTTCCTTCCCTTTCCTCTCCCTCTCTCATAGAAGGAAGAAATAAAAGACATTATATGGATACATATACTCATCAAATGGAAGAGCCAAGTGGTAAAGGTAAACAGTTTCAGTTCCCTCTACAGTGATTTTTAGGTTCAACACAAATCCAATCACAATTCTACACAATTCTAATAGAATTTTTTTTAGAGTTTTTTTTTTTTTTGCTATAGGTTGTGTACACTCACTGGAGAGACAGAGAGAGACAGAAAGTGAGAAATTGCCTCCCGGGGGGATGGCCGCACTGCAATACCTTTTTCTCCATTCTCCCCTTGGAATTTTGGGCACACATACACATGTGCCTGGTGTGAGTTTTAAGAAGCTGGGTCTGGGACTCAAACCACAGTTGACTACATGGGCATCCATGACATAACCATCACGCCATCTGCTGGTTCCTCCAATAGACTTTTTTTGGTGTGTGTATAGATCATGACAAATTAATTAATAAATTTATGTGGAAGTGCCAAGACTAGCCAGGTCACCCATACTTATTATAAAGGTATAGCAATTAAGATGGTGTGATATTGTTGCAAGAGTAGACAAATAGATCAATGAAAGACTAGTGGTCTCAGAAATATCCACTCATATGTAGAGACAGAACAGGTGGCCAAGGAGGTATTATAGGCCAGTAAGGGGAATGGTTGGACTTATAATGATTGGAATAGTTATCCACATTGGAAAAAAATGAAATTGGATCTCTACCTCATAAGACAAAAATAATTCTAGGTGGATTCAAAATCTAAATGTGAAAGGCAAAAACCAAAGAGCTTTAAGAATATAGAGGCCAGCAGATGGTATAGTGGTTATGTTGCTGGACTCCCACATGGTAGACCACAGTTTGAGTCCTGGACCTGGTGTCTTGAAAAATCACACCAGGCTGATGTGCATGCATGCCCAGGATCCCAGAAGGAGAATGGAGGAGAAGGCAATTTTATACCCTAAGGCAAAAACCCTTAAAAAAAATAAAGAATATAATATAGCAGGCCAGTAGGTGGGATGGAGGGTAAGGCAGCTGGGTCCCACATGGCTGACTGCACAGTTTGAGTTCTGGACCTAACAACTTGAAAATCACGCTAGGCATGCGTATATATGTGCCCAAAACGCCTAGAGGAGAATGGAGAAGAGTGGACTGCAGCCTGGCCCTTCCTCCTCGGGGTGATTTCTCACTTTCCCTCTCTCTGGTGAGCATATATGCCCTATAGCAAACAATAACAACACAAAATAAAAAAATACAATATGGCAAAATACCTTCATATACTCATGGAAGAAGTTTTTCTTCAGCAAGACACAAAAGCACCATTGAATGAAAATTATAATAACATTCAATGACATTAAAATTAAGAATGTCCAGGGACCAGCAGATGGCGTAATGGTTACATCTTTGGACTCCCATGTAGTCGACTGCAGTTTGAGTCCCAGACCTGGTGGCTTCAAACTCACACCGGGCACGTGTGTGTGTATGCCTGAGATCCTGAGAGGAGAATGAAGGAGAAAGGATTGCAGCTTGGCCAACCTCCAAGGGATGATTTCTCACTTTCTGTCTCTCTCTTTCACTCCGGGGAATGCATACACCCTATAGCAAAATTCTCTCTCTAAAACAAAGCCAAACAAAAAAAAAATAAGAATGTCTGTTGATCAAAAGCCACCATAAAGAGAGAGAAAACACAAGCAACAAATTAAGAGGAGATAATGGAAGCACATACACATCATACAACTGATGAAGGGCTCAAACCAAAATTATGTGAAAAACTAAAGAATAAAGAAAAAGTGAGCATGCCAGCAGATATATAAATAAATTGTGATGTATTCACAGAATGGAATATTGTACAATAAGAGGAAGATCTACAATTGCATGAAAAATCTACAACTGCATGAAATGATAGGATGAATTACACAGGTATGATATCGAGCAAAAGGAGCTAAGCAAAAGATTACATACACACTGTATGCCCCATTTACACAGATAGGTAAAACAATGTGGTCCCTCATAAGTGGTAACATTGAAAAACAAGTGAAGGGATAATTATCACAAAATCTAGAGAGTGTTTACCTCTAAGAGAGGGAAGGTTATAGTTGGCAAGGGGCACGGGACTTCTGGGATGTCAAAAATGGTCTACTGCTTGACTTGGGTGGTTGTTCATGAATATACAATTTATTTTTTAAATATTTATTTAATTCTGGGACCAGCAGTTGGCATAATGGCTATGTTGCTGGACTCCCATATAGTCGACCATGGTTTGAGTCCCAGACTCGGTGGCTTAAACTCATGCCTGGCACATGTGCGTGCATGCCCAAGATCTCAAGAGGAGAATGGAGGAGAAGGGATTGCGGCATGGCCATCCCCCCTAGGGGGTGATTTTTCGCTTTCTGTCTCTGTCTCTGTCTTTCTGGCGATCACACACCCTATAGCAAAAACCTCTTAAAAATTATTTAATTCCATGTGTCATTGTTATTATTTTTTAATTTGACCAGAGAGAGACAGAGAGAGGGCAAGTGAGGGAAAGTGAGAACGCTAGCCGCCAGGCCCAGGACCTGGACTGTGATTGGCCATGTGGGAGTCTAGCACCTTAAACACCATACCATCTGCCGGCCCTGCAATTCATTAGTATTCATTAAAATGTACATTTATGTTTCACACTCTCAGGAAAAAAAAATCCCAACTAAAACAAAGTGCAGTGTGAAGTGGGAGTAAGGGGACTATCCAGGACTCCTCTACACAGCCTCCTAGTCACCCTGTTTCCTGGTCTAGACCCAGAAGTGCAGGTGGCCTACTTTCTTCAGAACCTCCCCTGGGCTCTGGTCTTGTCTTATATCCTGAAGGCTACAAAGGCTCTCTCAGTCTTGGTGTGGAAATCATGTTGTGGGTGATTGTCTCCTGACCCCAGCCATGGAGCAGGGACATGTCTCCCATGGCATGGACAGGATCTGCCTATTTTGTCCTTAGACATGGGAGTCCATCTTGCATTGGTCCTAGTAACCCAGGATATGTGGGGTTTGAACTTGGCAGGTCTCATTTAAAAGACTAGAACCCCAAGTTCTGGTTGCGTGACTTTAGGCAAAACGCCTTTCCTGAGTCTCAGTTCCTCATTTATAAAAGGGGGCTACTGCCCACCAGGAAGGATAGTTGTAGGTGTTGAGAAAACATATGTGACATCCCTGAGCTGTGCCACATCTGATTGATCTAGTGATAAAGGCTGTGTAGCAGGGTTGGTAAGAGCAGGGGCTCTGGAGTGACACACCCCAGGACCGAAGTGGCCCTGTGTCACATCATAGGTAAATGGTTTAAGCTTTTTGCACCTTCCTTTGGTCATCTGTCATCAGGGGTAATAACTTTACCTCTTCATAGGGCTACATGAGGGTGAAATGAGATGACACATCTGCGACTGAAAACAGTACCTGGCACACAGCAGTACTGAGGTCATGTCTGCTGTTGTCGACTGCCCATAGAACAGGTTCTATAGTTTAGGACATGGACATGTTTGGGGTACCATTACTCTGCTCACCACGCACACCTTTTCTTGACCAGCTTTTACGGTAACTGTCACTAACCACATTATGTTCATAGCAGTGGACATTAAGTGGTCCCTTGAGGAACTTCCTTTTTTTTTTTTTAAAGACACATTTATTCAGTGTCATGATCAGACTATTACATTTAGCATTCAAAAGCATGGATGGAAAAAAAAAAAAAATCTACATTAAAACCCTTTGTTGGAATGCTTTACACTTTCCACAGAACAGAAACTAAAATAACCTGTTATACAATTAGTCACAAATATAGTCCTTGTATTTTTTGCCTATACACATGAGTATTGTCTAAAACGTGTCTTCTTTGTAGCAGCTAGGCCCTGCCACCACTGTGCTTGGCTGAGTTCACAAATCTGTTATAACCTGTAGCTTCCCTGTCACTTCTCTGGCTCTCCTCTCCTGCTAAGCTTTGTTTCCTGGCAGTTAAT